GACTGGGGTAATCGGGATGGGTGTGTCAGAGGCAGTGCGATTGGCACAGGATAGAGCAGGGTTTAGGGCTGTTGTACATAGGGTCGCTATGAGTCACAAGTAACTCAACAGCCCATAACAACAACAACAACATACTTTATTCGTTCCACTGTTATTAACCTTTCATTATCAATTGTTGTGCAGAATGGGATCAGAACTGACCTGTAGCTGACTCTCTAATGAGTTTTCAGAGGCAATTCATCATGCAGGAGAAGATTGCTCGTTTTTCTCCCATGTAGCAGCTGGTGGATTGGAAACATGTACCTTTATGTTGGCAGTGCAATTCCTTACCAATAAGCCACCAGAATCATCTCACATACTTCGGGCATCTTGCTAGGAGTATCACAGTGTTGCCTCACATTCTACGAGAATGTTGCTAGGAGAGGCTCTTCCTTGGAGACGGACAGCATGCTTGGAAAGGTAAAAGGCTGGCATAATGAAGAAGACCCTCAGTCATGTGGATTGCCACAGTGACTGCCACAGTAACCTCTAGTGTTTCAAGAAGTGTGAATATGGCCCAGGATATGGCAGGGTTCACATGTGCTGTTCATAATGTCGCTCCGAATCGTACTCGACACGATGGCACCCATCAGCAGCAACAACAATAAGCTCCCTTTTCTTTATCTAGGCTCCTATTAATTTGAATCCCTGTTTATCCTTAGCAAAGTGCCACTGGTGCCCTTTGAAGAGGATCCCTTGTGGCACTCAGGTTAAAGCACATGTCTGCCAAAGGAAATATGGGCAGTTTCTATCAGCCCTTACTTGGGAGAAAAATGTGACAGTCTGTTCCTGTAAAAATTTACAGCCTTGGAAACTTTTGGGGAAATTCCACTCTGTTTTATAGGGCTGAGCCAGAATCCACTCACCAGCAATGAACTTTATTTTCATATTTTTATGTAGGCTCTTTTAAACTCTAGTTTCACTATGTTACAGAGAATTGTCACAGTGACCAGTCTGTACTTTTCTTTTGTGCTCATGTGCTCTGGGTGACTCACTTTGCAGTAGCCCAGTTTGTCAAAAGGGTACTCACAATTTCTGCTTTTCTGAATATGACACCTTGCTCACCTCAGTACTTCAGTCTCTACTCCCAGTTGACATTCCAACTTGCTGTCCAAGGTTCCTGCAGTTCATAGGGGGGAATATCCAGTTGTGAGTGAGGCCTCCAGCCTCACCAGCATTGAAAAAAAAAATTGACTTTTCAATGTATGCTAGGGTCAGGGGTACAAATGATAGTTCAGTGGTATCTTAATTTGCAACAGTCTTATTATGAATCATGATAAGACAGAGCCATGTTTGAGACTATTCTTTCCAGAAGTTGTTATTTTCTAAGAATTATGAGAGAGAGAAATGTCTGAGATGGATTGGTCTTATTGTTTATGAGGAGTTGTAAAGTAGCCTCTGATCACTATTTTAGACATTATATTAAACAAGGAAAGCCTTTTCTTTGTTTTTAAACAATTTGAAATAGAACCTTAACTGGGACTCCTCAGATAAACCTTGAGGACAGTCTCAGGTATGCTCTGTCTACCTGATTTTTTCCTCTTCTATATGGCCTACGCTGTCTCCTTGGCACCTCGATGGAATCCTAGGGTGTGGGCAGGGAGCTCAGAGTAGAGATTCATTGTGGTTTTTTAAGATGCTTCCTGGTGTGAGACATGCCCTTTTTTTTTCTTCCCAGCTCCCACAGTCTCTTTTAACATGAAAAAGTTTATAATAACAGTAATAGTATAAAACGGCTTATACTAATATACAAGAATTTCCTCAACTCAGTCAGACTTTGGGCTAAATATACTCTCTTTCTCCGGTCTTCTGGCAGGCAAGAGTTTGTGGATGCTTACGTGAATTATATCTTCCAAGTCTCAGTCCACGAGTGGTACACAGCCTTCTCAAGCGGTTTCCTCAAAGTGTGTGGTGGCAAAGTCCTCGAACTCTTCCAGCCTTCAGAGCTGAGGGCCATGATGGTGGGAAACAGCAACTACAACTGGGAGGAACTGGAAGAGGTAAGTGCAGCACAAGGTGCCTCCTGACTGGGAAAGCCGAGCTCTGTGGGAGGCAGCCCAGAGCCAGTTTCTTTCCAGGTGTTCTCAACCTTAGGGTGATGTGGAGAACCCCTGAGTTTTGTTTCAAATTTCTTTGTCTTTAATACAAATACTAATATTCTTCAAGCTCTATTAATATTTTTCTTTTTCTCTAAGCTGCTGATTGTGTTGTGGTTTTTTTTTTTCTTGATAGACTGCCATCTACAAGGGTGATTACTCAGCCACACATCCCACTGTGAGACTATTTTGGGAAACGTTTCATGAGTTTCCACTGGAAAAGAAGAAAAAATTTCTCTGTATGTATCAGTAGTCTCCAGCTGGTATTTGTTCACATTTTAATCTCACATGTGATTTTGGTTCAACTTTTTTGATAATAGAGAGTAATTAAGTATATGTTTGGTTTTTGTTGGTTTTGTTTGTTTGTTTTCCTAATGAAATCTAAGACATTGCTGTGTGTCAGAAGCTACATGTAGGGATTTCCCTTCGTGTTGTTGTTGTTGTTGTGTGCCATCGAGTTAGAACTGACTCTTAGCTGACTCTCAAGGAAGTTTTCAAAAGAATAAATCTATGAGAGGAGATTGTCCATTGTGGACCATCTAGTGGATTTGGGCCATGTGTCTTTGGGTTGCAATTAGAGATCCTTACTACTAGGCCACCACAGCTCCCTAGGGATTCCCTAGAAATCTAGCTTTTGAACACCCCCTGCCCCCACACCCAATCCAGTGATTGTTAGATTTATGGACATTTTTACTGACTCTAGAGATTTGGGCAAGAATGTTCACACATGGCAGTCTCTGATAGTGGCATACTATTAGAAAGTGCTCTGTAACTAATGATTTCATTGTGGTAATTTCCAGCAATTCAACTATGAAAACCCTTATCTAACACTAGAAAACAAACGGATTTTTTTAAAAAAAAAAACACCACCAACCGAGGGGAGCTCTGGTGGCCTAGTGGCAAGGAGCTGCAACTACAATCCCAGAGGCTCACGGTTCGAATCCACCAGGTGCTCTGCCGGGGAAGGAGGGACAATCTCCTCCTGTACCAGTCAGATCTGATTTGACGGTACACGCACACAAAAATAATAAAATAAAATAAAAATTAAAAAAAAAAAAACACCAACCAACCCCCCAAAACCCAACTCATTTGCAGAGTTACAGTGCATGTCACAAGAATTCTATAATATCAGTGACAGCTCTTCTGGTTTATGTATATGGAGAGATAGGGAAGGAGCACAAAACAGGCCCCTACTTGGAAATTCAGTTTGATGGTTTAAGCATCAGACACTTGAGGGGAGAAGGACCTTAAAGTCTTTTTAGTTCCTCTGAGGTCAGTTCCTTTTTATTTCTGCCAGTAATTCCTTTCATTATGGATTTCATAAAACAAAGCTTTGAAGGCTTGTAAAATTTATGACAGAAAAAGCTGATTGGAGGCATTTTTGATATGAGAACGCTGTGGGCATTATTTGGTTGGGTATGACTAAAGTAACTGTACTTCTCACATGAGCCACAAGGTGTCATGCGTTCCCGTATGTTCTCAGAGGGACAGCTGAGAACACCTCTCATTTCTTGACTGTTAACGCTTTCTGTCTGTCTCCAGTGTTCCTGACAGGCAGCGATAGGATCCCCATCTACGGCATGGCGAGCCTGCAGATTGTTATCCAGTCCACAGCCAGCGGGGAAGAGTACTTGCCGGTGGCTCACACTTGCTACAACCTTCTTGACCTTCCCAAGTACAGCAGCAAAGAAATCCTGCGTGCTCGGCTGACACAGGCCCTTGACAACTACGAAGGGTTTAGTTTGGCCTAGGTTCCCCAGCTTGCCCCATTTCCCTTCTTCCCTCATTGTCCACATTGAGGCCTATATAAAAAAAATCATGGGGAGTGATTTCTATTTTTTTATTGTATAAGTGTGTTGGGACTTTTAAATCCTGAGCCTGGTTGATGTGGTTTTTAGGATTGTAAGCAGTAAGACAGCTTTATTGGCAAAGTTGGGGTGGAGGATGGGGCAGATCATTAACTCTTGTCTTGGAGTTCTTTTTTGGTTTTTAACCAACTGCCAGTGTTCTTGCACCTGTAAATCCGTTGCACCCTGCTGCATCACGTGGCAGTGGTTCCTTAAGCTCTCCTCATCTTTCCTCACCATGCTTCCCTAGCCTCCTCTTCACTTCTCATTCCTCTGCAAGGGTGATTTTGACCCATCTGTCCCTTCTCCCTGTGCATGCAAACTCCTCTCTGGCCCCCTGGAAATGGCCTGGCTTTGTGGCACCCTATTCTCTTAACCCAAAGGAGCCAAGGACCATTTCAGAAACTCCCAAGTCCAAAAGCCCACATCTGAGTCCATTATTTTGACTGAACTTTGAAGAATTTATAAGAGCCTTTATGAACACACCCTGCTTTTTCCAAAACAAAACAAAAGTTCTTGAGAAACACAAAGTCTTTCTATGCCGGTGCCTAGTTCCTGGACCTCCTTAAAAACATGCCAAGCAGTTTAGAATAATGGCTCAGCCCGATTTTGTTACTCAGCTGTGCCCCTTAGACAGTGAGGTAAAGTGACAAGTCTGCCCCCCTGTCTGTTATCTCACTTTTGGAGACAATTGATTATTTTAAAAAAATACTCTCTTCTACAAGGAAAAGAGTAAATTTCTTGTCACTTTCCCTGTAAGTTTGTAGCTCACACTAATTTTTTTTCCATCTCTCATTTTTTCCTTCCTATTCTCTTTCCTCCATTCCTTTAATTTCCTCTCCTTGCTTCATCCTGTTCTTTGCTCCTTGACCAATACACCTTCACCTCCTCCTAGTGGATGCATGCTGTCTATTTTTTTTTTTTAATTTCTATTTAAATTGAAAAATTTCTATTCAGTTTTTTTTTGGTTCCTCTTCCCTAATTGCTAAGACTTAAGACTATTCTTTAATATGGGACTTTTGTTTATCAGATTTGAATTGTTTGTTTACAGTGGGACTTGGGGGGGATTGTGGTTAAATCAAAATATATGTATCTCTATAATAATGACATGCTTGACTTTCTTCATCATGGGATAAGAAAATTCTACATGATCAAAGAACCCATGTCAGCCTAATTTTAAATTCCTAGTAACTAGAGAAAAGACTTATTTATATAAAATGAAGTATTTATGAACCATGATACAGCAACAAATCTCAATGAAGGATTATAGATTTTTGCTTTCTCTTTTTGTTTTGTAAACTTATTCCAATTGCTAAATTGGTAGTTTTTCAGTCTTTATAATACAAGATTTAAAAAAAAGATATACAGTTATATGAAATGTTTATTTTCTATGTGTGTGCAAATAGTTCAATATTATGCAATAAATTTGGTGTTTTAACTTAAATCTGTTTCTTATCGTACTTTGAGAATGAATAGACTGCTTTCAGTGGTGATATTAAACCATATACACAAATAATCTAATAGAAAATAAAATGTGGTTCTTGCCATTAGAAAAGTAGAGTCACATGCCGGGGAAATGGACAAAGCAAGTGTGGGACCCAAGTAGGGATGGTAGATGGCTTTGTGACAGTGTTGATGTTTTAAAGGTTGTAATGGGTGAATCTTTATAATGGGAATTAAGGAAGTCATTTCCCAGAGAGTGGTAGGCCTTAGCTAAGGCATGAACCTTGGTTTATAGCTGGGAAAGTCCATACACATAGCTGTTGAGTTGGAACTAACTCATAGCCGACCACCCTTCACTTCGTCTTCAGAGGCCTTAAATCGAATGGGAAGAGATTGCCCAGCTTTCTCCTGTGGAACGGCTGGTGGATTTCAACTACCAAAGAGGCCCTGCTCTTGTCTTAGTTGTGTGACTCTCTATGGACTGTACCACCAGAGCTCCGTATAGGCGGGAAGGTGAGGAATAATTTGAGGGGGACATCAGAGGAAATAGAAAGATGATGGTAAATAAAACTGGGAAGAAACTTGGGGCTGAGGAAACAGAGTAAGCACTTCTGAACGTTGGGATGGAGTAAGGGGATGTATAAATGACCTGAATGTTGTTTAAAAAAATAAACAGAGGTGGCATTTTCGTGGAAATAGAATGGGACAAACTGAAGTCTTGGATGAGGTTTATTGGCAGAATTAGATTGGGAAAGACTCAGAGGCAGCAGAGGAAGGCGCTTTTTTTTAAAGGTGTATGTGCGATGGGGAGATGGAAGAGAAGTCATCAGAGTCCAAAGGAAAAAGGAGAAAATAAAGGTAATCAGAGACGTACTGATGCTCAGCCCTTTTATGCACACAAGAAAAAGGTTTGAAACAGAGCTAAAAGAAATCCTTTTACTTTTTAAAGCAAATTCAATGTATTATTTTATGACTAACATCAGGATTGGAGGATGATTCATCAAAAACCTGCATTATGTTGATGACACAATCCTACTTGCTGAAACTGAGGAGGACTTGAAGCGATTGCTGCAGAAGATCAAGGACTGCAGCCTTCAGTATGGATTGAGGCTCAATATCAAGATGACAAAGATTATCACCACTGAACCAATAGGCAACATCATTATGGATGGTGAAAAGATTGAGATTGTTAACAGATTCAGTTTGTTTGGCTCCACAATCAACACTCTTTGTACCAGCTGCCAGGAAATCAAGAGACAAATTGTATTGGGAAAGTTGGCTGTCAGGGACCTCTCTGGAATACTGAAGAGCAATGATGTCAGTCTACAGACTAAGGTGTACCTTATCCAGGCCGTGGTCTTTGCAATTGCTTGCTGTATGCTAAAGAGCAGGACAATGACTGGGGATGATAAAGAATTGATGCCTTTGAGTTGTGGTTCTGGAGAAGAGTGTTGAAGATACCATGGACTGCTGGAAGAACAAAAAGGTTCATCCTAGAGAGGGTGATCCCAGGCTGCTCCTTTGAGGCAAGAATTTTGAGGCTTCATCTGACATACTTTGGGAATCTTGCAAGGAGCGACTGGTCCTTGGAGAGGGACATCATGTTTGGGTGGAGAGATGGAGAGAGGGAGACCATCAATGAGATGGATGGATTCAGTGACTGGGGTAGTGAGGATAGGTGTGTCAGAGACACAGGATAGAGCAGGTTCAGGGCTGTTGTACAAAGGGTCGCTATGAGTAACAAGTGACTCAATGGCACATAACAAGGACAACATTAAGAAGAATGGAAATCCCAGAACAATTAATTATGCTTATACAGAATCTATACCTAGACCAAGAAGCTGTTATATGAACATAGCAAGGGAACACTGCATAGTTTAAAATCAGGAAAGGTGTGCATCAGGTTGTATCCACTGTCCTTACCTATTCTACATGACAAGCAAATAATTTGAAAAGGTGCACTCTATGAAGAAGAACGTGGCATTAGAATTGGAGGAAGACAACAACATGTGTTATGCAGATGACACAACCTTGCTTGCTGAAAGTGAAGAGGAAACGCTTATGGCAGATCAAAGACTACAGCCTTCAGTATGTACTGAAGACTCTTCTCAACATAGAAAAGACAAAAATCCTCACCACTGGATTGATAAGCAACATCATGAGAGTTGGCAAAAATGTTGAAATTACCAATTATTTCATTCAATTTGAATGTACCATCAACACCCTTGGTACCAGCAGTCAGGAGATCAGAAGACATATTACGTTAAGCAAGGCTGCTGTCAGGGACCTCTCCAAATTACTGAGAAACAATGATGCCAGTTTGAAGACATCAGTTTAAGGTGGGCTTAGTTTAGGCCAAGGTCTTTTCAATCACTTTCCACGCATCTGAGAGCAGGACAGTGAACAAGGATGACGGAAAATAATTGATGCCTATGACCTGTGATAGTTAATCCAACAGAGTGTGGAAATTATTGAACAATATTAATATCTTATGCAAGCATGATTCTGCTGAAGATTATCCAAAAATACTGGAACAGCACATCAAAAGAACTGCCAGAAGTTCAGGCTGGATTTATATGGGGGTCATGGTACTAGAGAGATTGTAGCTAATGTTAGATGGATTTTGGCTGAAAGAGAGTACTAGAGGAATGTCTATCTGTGTTTCATTGATTATGCAAAGGTATTTGACTGTGTGGATCACAACAAACTGTGGCTTATTCTAAGAGGAATGGAAATTCCAGGATACTTAATCGTGCTAATGCAAAACCTATACTTGGACCAGGAGGCAGTCTACAGAACAGAGCAAGAAAACACCGCATGGTTCAAAATTGGGAAGGGTGTACGCCAGGGATGTGGCTTGTCAGTCTATACGCAGACCAGATCATCCAGGAGGCTGAGCTGTATGAGAAATGTGGCATCAGGATTGGAGGAAGATTCATCAACAGTCTGTGTTATGCAGATGACACAACCCTGGCCTGCTCGCTGAAACAGGAGGACCTGAAGTACTTGCTTCAATATGGATTGAGGCTCAATATCAAGAAAACAGATTTTTCACCACTGGGCCAATTGGAAGCATCATGATGCATGGTGAAGATATTGAGACAATTAACAGCTTTAGTTTGTTTGGCTCCAGAGTCAACACTCTTGGCAGCAGCAGCCAGGAAATCAAAAGATAAATTTCATTGGGAAAGTCTGCTATCAGAGACCTCTCCAAAGTACTGAAAGAGCAATGATGTCACTCTGGACATTTAGGTGTGTCTGATACAGTCCATGGTCTTTGCAATCACTTGCTATGCGTCAGAGAGCTAAATAATGATTAAGGATGATAGGTAATTGATGCCTTTGAGCTGTGGTGCTGGAGAAGAGTATAGAATATACCATGGACTTCTAAGAAAACGAATAGGTTCAACCTGGAGAGGGTTAAACCAGGCTGCTCCTCAGAGGCATCCTTGGAAGCAAGGATTCTGAAGCTTCATCTGACATACTTTGGACATGTTGACCGGTCCTTGAAGAGGGACATCATGCTTGGGAGGGTGGAGGAATAGCACAAGAGAGGAAGACCCTCTAAGAGGTGGATTGATTCAGTGACTGGGGTAATCAGAGTGAGTGTGTCAGAGACAGTGAGATTGACACAGGATAGAGCAGGGTTTAGGGTTGTTGTACATAGGGCCGCTATGAGTCACAGGTGACTCGATGGCACACAACAACAATTGGAGAAAAATGCTGTATATCCCATGTTCTTGTTGTATAACATCGAGTTGAGGCTGTCTTTTTTTTTTTTTTTTTTAGGCTGTCTGGTAGCTGACCTTTCAGCGAGTTTTTAGAGGCAATTAATTGTATGGGAAGAGATTATTCATCTTTCTCCTGTGGAGCAGCTGGCAAATTCTAACTACGTGCTTTTGGGTTGACAGCACAATTCCTTACCCTTCCACCATCAGACCTCCCTGAATAGCACATGGACTGCCGAAAGAAAAAGCAGATGTATCTTGGGAAAAGTGCACCAGAGAATGCTCCCTGGAGGCAAGGATGACAAACTTTTGTCTCATATACTCCTTGAGATGGACAACAAGCTTGGAAAGGTCAACCCAAGAGAGGAAGACCCTCAACAAGATGGTTTACATAATTACTGCAGTTAGGACCTCAAGTGTGTCAGAGATGATGCGGACTGCGCAAGGTAGGATAGGGTTCATGTCTGATGTTCATAGGGTCACTATGAGTCATCCTCGACTCGATGGCACCTAACAACAACATTCTAAGTTGACAAAAACAACAGTTATCTTTCATTAACGAAATTCCTTTTAATGAACATTAGATAATCTCTAGATGTACTATATTTGAAAGGGAAAATGTTCCATGTTTTTTTCTTTCAATATCTCAGTGTGTGTGTGTGTGTGTGTGTGTGTGTGTGTGTGTGTGTGTAAAGCCTAAAATAATATTTGCCCTTCACAGGAGATGTTTGCCCACCTTGTTTGTTGGGATTAGTAGGGATCATGGTAACAAACTTCACTAAAGGTGTGTAAAGAATGTGGGTCATAATTTGACATTGAATCAGAGAGAACAAGTGTTTGGACTTTTCTGATAGGGAGATAAGCTTTATTTAAGATTAACCCACAGAAATAGGCACCAAGGTTTTAACCAGAATCCTGTTTAACGCATACTCTTGATTGTGTTTGGAAGAAGTAGCTGCATCCACTTCCTAAATAATATGCCTCCGGAAACTCTGAACTTTGAGAAATGTCGATGGTTGTAGAGGGGCTTCAGGCCTTTTGTTTATGGAGTCGCTATAAGTCATATTCGACTTGAAGGCAATCAACAACTTGATTGTGTGCTGTGCTGTATACTAAGCCCTGAGTCCAGCTAATTCAATTGCCACCACAGTCTTCTTGGATTTATACTTACTGGCTGTGTATGTACCTTTGAGCTGTTTTCTTAACCTATCCGTAGCTGATTTTCTTTGTTTTGCAAATGGGGATAGAAATAGTTCCCATCTCATGAAGGAGAAAT